GGAGCTCGCCCGGGCGGCGCCAGCGCGGTGTGGGCGGCCCGAGTCCGGGGAGGCGCTGGGATATCAAAACAAACGGCCGAGGGCAGGGCTCCCGGGCGTGTGGGGGGAGCCGGCCCGCGGAGGTGGCGCGGGCGGGAGACGCCCCCGCCGCGTAGCCGAGTGGAAAACTTGGTCTACTTGCGGTGCGCAGCTTTGCGCCCGCTTTCGGCCGGTGCAGCCGCCTGGGGAGGAGCTGCGGGCGGGGGTCGGGAAGCGGCGCGGGCAGGGATTGACCTGCGTCCCCGAGCCAAGACGGGAGAGAGATTAATTTGTTGTTGTTAATGGTGTCCAATCCAATAACCCAGGTCTTTTAGATTTTTTTTTCTGATAGAAAACGTTGGTTTCGATTGTCCTTGAACTGTGTATAAAAATGGTATCCACTCCTATTGACTGTATGTGACTCCGGGATGTTTTCTCCACACTGTTCCCCGTCATTCTGAGTCTGTTGTCTTGTATTTCAGCCAAAGGACGCGCGTTAATTCTTGTATTAAAGCACCCCATACAAAGGACATAGAGGAATTATAATGCCAAAACAGTATGTGTAGTGCTAGGTGTAGATGATCTTTTAAAGTTATTACGTAAGTGCCTAGGATGTTGAGGGGAACCCAACTAAGTGTTGTATTCTTCAGCAGTAATCGGGTCGGTTCCTTTCAGAATTTGCACAGATGTCAGGTGAGCGCAGGAACCCCTTGTGGTGCTCAGCTAGTTTTTCCTCATCAGTTTGCTTTTGGCATTTGCTAATAATATCACCAAAAACTTAATCTTGAAGTCGCATGATTTGTGGCCCTGAAACATTACAGAAAATTGAACTGCCAGAGTCTTCTGCCTGGTTTTGGTGCTTAAGAAAGTCTCATTGACCCTTACTGTCCAGGTTGGCCCTCGTTCTCCTGTTCCTATATAAGAATTGCTTTCACTTTGACTAAAAGTAAGAGATGTAAAACATCCTTTGATGTAAGTTGTTTGTAGATGAGTGGATGCTCTCAATTGATTGTCCGTACAGCAGGGCTTCATGTGTAAATAGATTTAATTAAATCTGTGCTCTTGAAAATATCGGGAGTTTTGGCATGAGTGAGTGAGACTAACTTGGAAAAAAATGATAAACTTTTATTAGGTGTCTACTCATTACTGTTATTTTCACGAATGAGAGTACAGTGACATTTTTATTGGCATTTGGCATATTTCTATTGCTTAACATACTATATGATTATACTATATGTCATAATATATGTGACAGTTCACAGGCTTTTGTTCAGCTATTCATAAACTAGTGAGTACCAAAAACTTACCTCAGTGGTCATACACTCTTGTTTATTTAAATCGAGATACTTGATCTTAGTATTACATACTTTTAAAAATATTTAAAATACCAACTCCATGGCCAGGCGTGGTAGCCCATGCCTGTAATCCCAGCACTCAGGCGAGTGAGGCGGGAGGATTGCTGAGGCCGGCTGGGCTGCATAATGATTTCAAGGTCAGACTGAATTGCATAGCAGACCCTATCTCAAAAAAAATTTTTTTTTCCCCCTAAATTTGGAAAGGTATTGAAATAACTTTACTTAAAACAGGACTGTGATAGACAAAGGAAACTTTCTATTATCAGTATTATGACCAGCAAAGCATTATCTCATTTTATTTTGTGAATAAGTATGACATTTTATTTTTACCTATCCATATGTACTTTATTAAAGTAAAAGGAGGCATTCCATGTTTAAGTTTAGTAGTTCTGATTTAGAAGATCTCTCCAAAAAGCAGCAATCAGCATTCCATAATAAAATGTAGAAATTATGAAAACTTCCTTTTTGAATCTCTGTATCTCAAAATACTGTGTAGTTCTATATAATCAAAAGAGAAATTACACACTGGGTAGCAAACTGTTATATGTAATAAAATTAAAGTTAGCTTTCAAGATAAAGCAGAAAAGTGGGTTATAGTGACAAAGTGTTAATCTCTAGTTGGACAGTATTGTAGGAGGGTTTTTTTTTATGTTACAGATTACACTGTAGAATGATTATGCTACCTTTTCTCTGAACATGCTTTTTTTTAAAGTCTGCTTTTAAATTGATAGATGAGTTTTAGTCTTCCAAAAAACTTACCCTCTTACTATCACCTGTCATTTAGTCTTCTGTGTTTCTCTCCCACTGTTTAATAGGATATACGTCATTTACTTTTTTCTTTATTTCCATAGTTAAAAAGTAGGAGCATTGAGGCATAGGCATTTTAGTGTACATAGGCTGACTTCCTGGACTGATACTCATGGCATGAAGGCCACTAGACTGCCATCTGTTTTTATTCTCCGGCCTCCAATTCTCTCACAAGTTATGCTAGCTACTGGGTGGAGAAAGTCTGCAGGGACGAATTTTGTTCAGTCATGCTCAGGGATATCCTTTATCCCATACAGGAATGAGAAATTCTTACATGCTGATTTGCCATAAGTAAGTTGGCATCACAAGTCAACGTTTTGAAAGGTAATGACCCCAAGTCTAGGTCCAAACCACCACTTTGCCGGAACTGCTCTCTATAAACAAAAGTATTGCAGGCCCTAATATAAATAGGAGTACTAATGAGTATCTGCTCATTTAGAACCCATTGTACTTTTACCCACCTAACAAAACGAACCTCCTTTATCTGATTATACATAATGTTGTGAATTAACATTAAAAGGAATGTGTAAAATGTAGAAAGAAAATGCATATTGGGGGAAAAGGCACCTGTAATCTCATTACCCACTGTCAGTTACTATAATAATTGGATAGATCCTCTTCCCTTCCCTTCCTCTTTTGGCAGTGCTGAGGGTGGAACCTAGGGCCTAACAGTCTACCACTGGGTTATATCCCCAGGTGAGATTTGCTTACTTTAAGTACAGGTTGGAATTGTCTAGCAATAGCAGATATCACAGACTACTTAGGAAAATCTGTTGGTTGTTTAATTCACATCCCCTTTGGAGATTTTGGGGGAATCAATTTAAGGATCTAAATATAAGCTGTACTCGGTGGTGTACACGTGTAATCCCAGCACTGACAGAGGCTGAGGCAGGAATATCAAGTTCAAACCCTACCTGGGCAGCTTTGCCAGATCCTGTCTCAAAATAAAAAGTAGGAAGGGGCTGGAGGTGTAGCTCTGTGATAGAGCATCCCCATATTCAGTTAACAGTAGCACAAAAATAAAACTCTTCAAATACAGTAGATATCCTTAGATAACTTTTAAAACACCTTTAGAAAGTATCACTGTAGATCTTTTTATATCCATTTTAGTTAGAAGACTATAACCGTTAGATTCCATTGGTATTTTTCACTGTACTTTGTTTTGGTATTCTTGAATTATTGGTCCAGTCTGTGCATGTTTGGGTTTAAATTTAACAAATACACATCTCAGTGACAGAAAATGAATTTTGGGTTTATTTCTATTTAAAAGGTAAGCAGAATGAAAAAAAAGGGTTGTGTTTTTCTAAACAGGATGAAACGAGGAAGAGCTAGTGACCATAATTCATCTGAAGAGGGTACTGCAGACAAATCAAAGAAACTGAGGACTACAAATGAGCATTCTCAGACATGTGACTGGGGTAATCTCCTTCAAGATATTATTCTCCAAGTATTTAAATATTTGCCTCTTCTTGACCGGGCTCATGCTTCGCAAGTTTGCCGCAACTGGAATCAGGTATTTCACATGCCTGACTTGTGGAGATGTTTTGAATTTGAACTGAATCAGCCAGCTACATCTTATTTGAAAGCTACACATCCAGAGCTGATCAAACAGATTATTAAAAGACATTCAAACCATCTACAGTATGTCAGCTTCAAGGTAATATTTCAAACCCTTCTTTTTAGAAGCAAAGTATTTTTAGTGGCTTTTGGTGTCCTAACCAGTGCATCTCACATCTTTAAAATATTTGGCTAAGGGAAAGTGTGTAACATGTTTCTGCTGGTTGGGACCACTGGTGGTTGTAATCATGTTAAAAGATTTAGAATTGAGTATATCATAGATGCTATCAGATCACAAATCATTGTAATGTTTGTTGGAGATAAATGACTCCATTATGGTTACTACTAATTTCTTAAAAGAGCAAAAGCATCCACTAAATAAGCATCAATCATTGACCAAAGCTGTAAATGAACAGTGAATTATTGCAAACAAATTTAAGGAGGAAGTAATATATAGTAAATTAATAAAAATTGGGATTATGATTGATTACTATTGAGCAAAACAACTGCAATTTCTATTTAATAGGGGCTGAGTGTTATTTATTTTTCTGGCTTTTTGATATGAGATCTTCAGATGCAAAGGTGGCATAGAAACTAGTTAAAAGCTTTAGAGAGGGATATATTACAGAGAAAAGTAGAAAAGCATGAGTAGAAGAATGCCATAGAGAACTGTTTGCTTCCTTTCTTTGCTGGAAGGAACATTTTGAAAGTCATGTAATGATGAGATAAATGAAGTAGGGTAGTTTTTTTTTTTTTTTTTTTTTTTTTTTTGAAGTTAGGTAGTTTTTGAGATGTTCAGATTACTTAGAGAAAAAGTGGGTTGAGTGATGTTGAGGCTTGTCATATTGTGTTGGAAATGAATGATGAAATATGTGCATGCTTACTAAAACATTAAACATAAGATATTTTTGTAACAAAAAAATTGGTAATTGTTGAAAAGTGGCAGGGCACAAATGCCTGCTTTATTGTATCAGTTGCTAAACAAGTCAAGTTAAACCTAGATAAAGGAATAATATTTCTAAACCTAGAGCTTCTTAACCAAACTAAGACTTATCTTCCTTCTAAGAATGTCATTTCTTCTTAGGTAGAGATCACTTGCTTATTCTCCCGTAGGTTTCCAGGAAGGAGAGATTTGGTAGTAAGAATGGTTGGGTAGACAGTGGCCTTTTTCTTAGAAAAAAATGCAGAAAAGTAGGCTGCCTAGTTAAATTTGAATTTCACATAATTAATGGATGAGTTTTGGTATAGATGTGTTCTATGCTTGGAATATACTTAATATTGAAAGGTTGTTTACTTGAAATTCAAATTTAATTGGTATCTTGTATGTTATCTGTTGTATGACAGATAATGACAGATACAGGTATGTTGTATGACAACTTTAACTAGGGGCAAGGGTATCAGAATGGTAGGAGAATGAAAGAAAAATCCAGCAACTCTTCATTCCCCTTACCCTAGGGGAAGGACCTCTCCTTGGGTTTTAGTCATCTTTGAGCTGCCAAAGGGTATTTTAATGACAAATGTTTTAAAGAGTAAATACACTCATTTCATAGATCTTCAGTATCAATTCAGTACAGTTAGATTGGTTGGGTCAGTTTTATTCTTCTACAGAACTGTGACACAATTCAGGTGTATCTAACTTGTGTAACCCTTGTAAAATCATTTGTGATACACTTAACATTTTGTATCGGGGTTTTTTTCCTCTGAGGAAGTAATTTCTGATTTACACATTAGAAGAAAGGCACATCAGAGAACTCTTCCGAGTTCTCCAGAATATTTTAAGTCATCACTGACTGTAGGCTTGGCTTGTTATCAAAGTTACTAGTCTAGAACAGTGTTTCTCAAAGTCGGTGTGTAAGAGATCACAGAGGGCTTGAAACAGCCTCGATCCACCAGTCCATCCCCAGAGTTTCTGATTCATCTGGTCTGGGTTGGGGACAAGGATTTGCATATCTTAACAAGTTCTCAGGTCATGTTGATGCTGTTGTTGGGGAACCATGCTTAGAGAGCCACTGGTGTAAAGAAACTTAACCAAAGGGTACTATTATAAATTGCAATATAAATTAGTGTATTAGATTTAATATAAATTAGTGTATTTTATACCAGCTTTTAAGGAGTATTGGGATAAAGTTATATACATAAGTCTGGAAATTAGAATAATGATATTACTTTGAACTATTCTGTTTTAAGAAGCTTTTTAGCCTAGGGAACAAATGACTTAAAAACCCCTCCTTGAGTGTTTTCTCAAGATTATTTTACTTTTGGCCTTATTATCCTTCGTAGAAATGTATGTAATGTCTAGGCAGATGAATGTATGAGAACAGCTACCCTTGGATCAGATTTTCATGCTTGATTAAACACTATTTTACATTATTTTTTATTATTTTACTTTATTTACTTAATTTATTTTTACAGTACTAGGGATTGAACCTAGGGCCTTCACACCACGCTAGCCCTTTATTTTTTATTTTGAGACAATGTCGTGCTAAGTTGCTTAGGTTGGGTTCAGTCTCCCAGAGTGCTGGGATCTTATTTTGCTTGTATATACATCATTCCTTTGAAAATATTAATGAGCTCCAGGTGTGGCTCATCTAAACATTCTGAATAAGTAGTTATTAGTTTCTGGTGCCTTAAAATACCTTACTGTAGATACTGTACTCACATCTGTTATTTGATCTGCAAATATATAACTTTTTCAAAGACTACAATGTATTATTCCATTGGTTTATAATCAGTTTGAAATAAATAGTGCTTCCAACACTAAATAGAGGACTTGTAATAAGGGCTGTTTTAACAATTGCACTTACTTATTAGGCTGAAGTTCTAGGGGAGAGTAAATGTATTTTACATTTACAATGCAATAAACTAATAACTTTTTTAAAGTTAAGAAATGCACAGAGAAGTATAAATATTTGCATGGATAAAAGGTGTTTTCTTTATTAAGGTGGACAGCAGCAAAGAATCAGCTGAAGCAGCTTGTGATATATTATCACAGCTCGTGAATTGCTCTTTAAAAACACTTGGACTTATTTCAACTGCTCGGCCAAGCTTTATGGATTTACCAAAGGTATCTCCTGGTTTTGTTTTATTGGTTATTATTGAGAAATCCAGTGAAAGCCTATAAACACTTACTGTATTGACAGTAAAATCATACATAATGGAAAACAAGTTACTGTTTGAAATGTTGAGAAACCATATTTTTAAAATAATGTTTAAAAACACATAGTGCTTCTTGATGGGTAAGCTTAAAGAGTAAATGAATTTAGAGGTGGAAGTGCAAAAGAAATTTAAGTAAAAATGAGAGGGGCATCAGAAAAAAGAACAGCTGTGTACTCCCTTTGGGCTTACAGAGTAGATTGGTGAGGTTAGAATGAGAAATGTAGAGTGCCAGTGTGGCCTGCTTACGTGAATTATTCTGGCAAGTGTAAAGATGTGTTCTTGAGCAAAGTTAGTATCAATATAGTTTGCATTATCTTATATATTTTAGGCAAAGAAAACTTTTTTAGTGAGCATTAACTGCTCATATTTATATGTAAGTTTGAACATGGTTCTGTACATAGAAATATTCTCTTTCACAACCACAATATTCTCTTGTTAGAAAAATAAGGCAGTTGATAAAGATGCCTAAGTTATATTAGTTGAGTTATATGATATGGTACAACCTCAAGCTTTATATGGGAAATGAAATGTTATGGATTGATTTTTTTCTGTCAAGCTGTGTAGCTAATAAATTCATATACTCACATGAATGCTTTACATAAAATATACCATACTAAAGAGAATGTTTAACAGTTTCTGGACTTATTTGGAGTTATCAGTGCATAAATCTAGTGCTAATTTGAGAACCACTGATAGAACTATGACTGCTTCTTATTAAATAGCCCTAGGATGCTTACATTGTTATCCTTTTCCTTTTAAGGGTTTTGTAGAAAAGATTGAAATAGGTATTATTGTATCTTAGAAATCCTAAGGAAAGTAAAGGTAACAGAAGAAATGTATTTGACCATAGAAGAAGTTACTTGATCATAGTTAAGGCAGGACAGTAGGAAAGAAGTCAGTGGTACAGACATGCATATTAGTAAAGAAGTGTGATTACACAATATACAGTTGAGTTTGATGTGAAAATATTAGGAGAAAGATGTTGACATTTAAGTAAAGTTATTTTGTCAAAATTTAAATCATTAGCCAGTTAATCACAGTAGGGAGAAACTGCAGAATGTGACCAAGAGGTAGGATTTAATTGTATTTCGTATCTGTTAATTTGACTTCAACCTTTGGTCTTGCTGTAGAGAATTTATAAAGCTAAGGTTGATTATGTAGGGGACTGTGTTGGGGCATGTATTAGCCTTTCTTTCCTTACCCTTCCAGATTCTTTGTGCATTGACTATAGCTTATTTCAACTCTGATTCAAAGTTACATACTTTGAATATACTCTAATTCTTGTTTACCTACAGTGGTCCCTTTTGATTAGATTCTGTGTCCATCAGATACCTAACATGTATATGATAAATTGAAAGATACTCACTGGTACATTTGGGGCAAAATACATTAAAATCAAAGAAAGCCCTGAAAATTTTAACATGTTTAAGAGAGTTTTAAATTTTGAATTTAAGAATAATTTTGGTTGTTTTGGAGTCATATTTTATATGAGCTGTCATGTTCCAAATGTGTTAATAGGTTTTTAATTGATTATTACTGATTTTTAATGATTGTGCCAGTAGTTACTGCTCCTTTTTTTTTTTTTTTTTTTTTCCTGAGTCAGGGTCTTGCTGTGTAGTTTAGGCTGGCCTTGAACTCATGACATCCTTCTGTGCAACCTCCCTGAGTGCTGAGATTACAGATCTGTCCCACCACACCCAGCTCATTATTGCTATTTTCGATCAGTCATTACTGTGCAGTTCAGTGGTACAAAACACAAGAGTAAGGTTAATTGATATGATGAAGGAAGGTGTCTGAAAGGTATTCTCATCCTGGTTTCCAGGCTTCTTTTTACTTACCGCTGGTTACTGTGATTTAGAGACCTCTGAATACTTGATAATTGTTCACCTAGATAAAAAAGCAGTCAAAGACAGCAGCTAGTAACTTTTTTTAAAAAACAACCATATGCAGAAATGGTATAGTGGTGCTATTCCTTTAACAGTTTTGAAATACATCATTAGGATTCAAGTGAACCATATCTGGTATTATCTGAAACCCTTAAGTTATTCTGAAAATTTAAAACAATGTCTTAACCTTTTCGTTTTTCAGTCTCACTTTATCTCTGCACTGACAGTTGTGTTTGTAAACTCCAAATCCCTGTCCTCGCTTAAGATAGATGATACTCCAGTAGATGATCCATCCCTCAAAGTACTTGTGGCCAACAACAGTGATACTCTCAAGTTGCTAAAAATGAGCAGCTGTCCTCATGTCTCTCCAGCAGGTATGCTGATTTTTTTTTTTTTTTTTTTGCTATACACACAGTGAACTATACTGACTGTATTGACAGTAAACTATATTGATTTGTTTATCACATTACAGAAAAACCATGACTAATAGTTGTAATAACCCTTTAACACCATTTGTAGGTAGGTGGGCTAATAGGATTGCTTCCTTACTTCTGCATAAAGATATTTTTAGTGTCATAATACAATAGTATAAATTTTGTAGTGTTACTAGCCTTTACACTGATGAGCTTATTTTTTAATCTTATGTAATAAAATGTGTACAGCATGTGTTAAAAAATGAAAAATTTTTTTTGAAAAAGGGGAAGGTCCTCTTGAGGTCCACCTGAGGGGTCTTGATGTAAAATAGCATATTGTCTAATTGTAGTTGAACTGACGGTAGGTTTTAATTCATAGCAGTCACATGATTGCTTTTCTTTTTATTCTGTGTAGAGAGGGAGAAGAGTTGTGCTTAAGTGGTTGTGTTATATGTTATATGCTAATGCTTTGCTTAAGTTGAACTTTGGAACTACAAGGCCATCACATGGGGAGCTGTATCCTTATAAGAGCTCTTTGCCACTTCTCTTCTGTAGAATTTAAGCATTACTACATTGTGCATTTTGGAATTAATTCCAGACGGTTTGTATTAAAAAGTAAAAATGTGTTTTTCATATTATTCTCTGTTGTTTCTTTCCTAACTCCTCTCACTGTTGACATCCCTTCTATCTGTAGCTGTGTTATTTGGTAAGCCTTTTTACCTTTTTCCCGTAACTAAAACTCAGTTTCCCAAGGAAATGACTTCTTGGATGGAGATTACTTGCTTATAGTCCCAAACTTCTCACATGAGGAGTCTTAGTGATGGGAATGGCTAGGTTTGTTATGATGTTTTCCTAGTTGTCTATGCCACTTCTAGTTTATCATTGAAGGTATTGTAAAATACACATTAAGGAAAATATTTTGCTTTAGCACTTACCTCCTATGCGATGTTGATCACATTTTATTATCTATGGCTGGGGATTTAGCTCAGTGGCACAGCGCCTGCTTGGCAAGTGCAACGTGAGTTCGATTCCCGGTCCCAGAAAAAAAACCAAAAACCAAAAAAAAAGGAATATTTTACTATCTACTATATAGATGTGCTATGAGATTAAGGTCATACTTTATAGCTTCATAGAGAACAAGGTCCTTTGTCTTCACTTCCACCCGTCTCTTTAATCTTGTTTTCTACTCACTTGGGTACACCTTTTACTTGAACCCTGGGGAACTGTAGTTTTTAGCTTTGTGTGTGGTTAGTACACTGTATTCTGTGGAGTACTTTTAACTTCATCTAGCTAACTCCAGTCCAGCCTTCAAAATTCAGCTCAGCTGTTAATCTGTTCTAACCACCCTCATACCTGGCTGTTTTCATAGCACTCTAAACATAATATCGTTTACATACTGTATGAGAGAGGGAGAGTCTTTGGGTCTCTGGTTTCCATGAGAACTGTAAGCTCGGGGGCTGGGGATTTAGCTTAGTGGCAAAAGCGCCTGCCTGGCAAGCACAAGGTCGTGAGTTCGGTTCCTGATACCGGAGAAAAACCAAAAAAAAAAAAAAAAACTGTAAGCTCATTATTCCCTTTATTCTGATATCCATGTTCACTTATTTTATTAAATATGTGTATCAGTTCTGATTCTGTAAGTGTGTGTATTCCCATCTGATGGCTACTGGACCAGTTGCTCAATGAGAAAAGGAAATGTAATAGTTTTGTAATATTTCTTAATGGAAGTGCATAATCACAGAAGATTTTAACATTGTTCTAAAATATAACATTATTTGTACATATTCTATCTATACTGTGCAGATTTAGACAGTTTCTTCCTCTAAATTGAAACTGTGGGCTATTTTCTATTTCTGCTTTTATTGAACAGTTTATCAGACTTCTTTCTATTTTCATATAGTTGTTACAACTGGACTTCTAGGTACCATTTGATACTAATGACTGTTGGCTTTTTTGGTATTATTCTGATATTTCTGCTTCTCTTTCTGTGCCTGCTGTTTCCTTTGTTGGTTTTGTTTTCATTTCTTAAATTTTGGTGTTTCCCTTTGTTCTCTCTCTACTGGCTACTTGTTTGTTACTCTATAAAATCCAGTGTCATCCTCATCTGTGATTTGACTTGTATTCCTGTATGTTACTACCTTCTAATTGGAATTCTACAACTATGTGTTAGACACCCTAGGCTCAGTGTGCTAGAATGTCTCACTGATGCTTCCAACTAAAGAACTTTTCTGTCTTCCTTTCTAAATCTTGTTCTTCCTTTAAGGTTGTCTCAGGAAATGTACTGTTCATCTAGCTGTTGGGAACATGATACCCTTGATTGCTTCTCTCCATATTCTCCATATGCCTCCAGTCACTGAGGTCTGCCAGCTCTCACCAAAATATGCTTTGAATCTCTTGCATCCCCACTCTAAGTAACTGCTGCAGACCAGATCCCTGTCATCTTTGTACCCTCTTAACTGATTAACTGATTTCTTCATTTGCAGCCTTGTTCTTACATAATTTGATCTCTCTGCTACGGCCAGAGTAACCTAAAACTTTCTAAATTTTATTTTTGTCTCCACTTTGCTTCAGAACTTGTCACTGTACTTTCTATATACCTAGACTTCCAAGGTCTGGTATGATTTGGCCCTTGCCTATCTATTTGGGCTTCTTCTTTTGATAATCTCTTACTTGGATACTGTCTTTTGAGTTCTTTCATTTCTTGAAATGCTTGTATTCATTTCCATGTCTGAGTGTCCACACAGGAAAATACTATTTTCTTCCTTTTCCACTCCATATGTCTTATCTTCATTCTAATTTTGGGGATCTCTTTATGTTTGTTCTGGGCTGTCTTCCTTGATTCCCTTGTAATGAGTTTGCAAAGCACATTGTTGTTAAATTATTTGCTACTTCCTATTAGGATAAGGATGACTAGTTCCTATTGCAGCTTTATCCTTTTAGCACTAGTACTAAACCACTCATTAATATCAGATGAACTAATGAACATTTATTTAGTATTCCCCCTTTTTGATAAATACTTCCTCATGGTTTTTTAAGCTTGGGATACTTGTTTCTACTTTTTTGCTGTGTTTCAAAAAAATAATCAGTTATTTTGGCACATAGCAGTTTGCTTCTATGAATTTCTTCCTTATGAAAAATTCTTAAGAAATGGAGATGGTAGGTCAAAGCATCCAAATATTTTTTATGGTTTTTGCTGGGTTTTCCCTCCCAAGTCAGTTGTATGAATTTATATTACCAATAATATACCTGCCTCATAAGTTTTATTGAAATGTAATTCACATACTGTGCAGTCATCATTTGAAGCACATGATTTATTGGCTTTTAGTATATTGACAAATGAATGCATTACTGTCATGGAACTTTAGAGTGTATTATTCTGGGAAGAAGCCACATACTTCGCTGTTAAGCCCTAAAACCTCCTTTGCAGCTAGTCCCAATTTATTTTCTGTCTCTGTAGATGTGTCTATTCTGTGTACTATATAAATGGAATCATATATGGCCTTTTGTGTCTGGTTTCTTTCACTTAGCATGTTTTTAAGGCTTCATATGCCGTATCATGAAGTAGAACTTCATTTCTTTTTATTGCTGAGTAATCTTATTTCTGAATAGTGTGGACATGTTTAATTTGTCCTGGATATGTGTCTAGTAATGGAATTGCTGGATCATATAGTAACTGTTTACTCCTTTGAGAAACTACCAGATTGTTTTCCAAAGCAGCTATACTGTTTTAACATTCCTTTTTCATATTCTAACTTTTCTTTTAATAGCCATCCTACTTGGTATAAACAGGTATCTCATTGTGGTTTTGATTTGCATTTTTTAATAACTGTTGAGTATCTTTTTGTGTTTATTGGCCATTTTTATGTTTTCTTTAGAGATAATGTCCATTTAGATTCTTTGCGTATTTTTAAATTGAATTGTCATTTTATTATTGAGTTGTAATAGTGTATCAGTTTTATCGTTGTCACTATGCTGTTACATATAGCATAGCAGTATAAATGTAATAGTTTATACTAATATTGTTTATTGGCTTCTTTGCTTAGGGTCTTAAAGGGCTAACATCAAAGTGTTAGGCAGGTTAGGCTTTTATATGGAGGCGCTAAAAATTTACTTCCATACTCATTTAAATTGTTGGCTGAATTTATTTCTTTGAGGTTGTAGGCCTGACAACTTACTTTCTTACTGGCTGTTCACAAGAGGCTGTATGAGGAGTTTCTCTCCTCTTAGAGGCTGCCTGCCTATCTTAAAGCCAGCAGTAACATGTTGACATTCCCTTTGTGCTTTGTATCTCTTTTGCATCTCTGACTTTTCTGCAAGGAGTAAACTCTTAAAGGAACTAAATGATTAGGGCTACCCAAATAATCTCTGAATTTTATAAGGCCAGCTGTACCATATTACATAATGATAGACATGATACATTCATAGATTAGCATGTGGGACGGGGTGGGGCTTAAGAATTAATGCCTGCCAAATAGCTTTAATAGTTACTAAGTAGCATCACAAAGTTTTATTTGCAGCTTTGCAATTTTCCATGTTTACTTTCACTTTATATCGAGCATTTTGATATTACAAACAGCAAGAGATGTGCCCAGGTTACCTTGAGTGATCAAAGGATGGATATATATAGAGAGGGTGGGGGGATTACTCATTCCTTGGGAAAACAAAAACTTGCAGTAGCTGAATAGTGAAGCATAGAGGTCCATTACTTCCTCTTCTGACACTCATTCTGTTGATTCAGTGCATCTCTTCTGATTGCCTATCTTCCACTACTGTGAAGTTGTCTTGTCACTTCTTAGGTGCATAAACTTAAGAGTCACTTGGCCTGTTTGTGTTCCAGCTTTGCTGTCCTTAGCTAGGTGCCTCAACTTCAAAACAAAAATAGTATCTAGTTTTTTTTTTTGAGTGGTAGTGGGATAACATATGAGTACCTCTATATTATACAGTACTTCTAAAGTAAATAGATGAAAATGTGTATTTTTTGTTGTAGTTATCCCTGTTTCTAAACATATGAAAGAAATGGATTGAGTGGGTTATCAGGTAGTATAAAGTCCTTACTCTGGGGCAGAATTCTTAACACTAAGCCACTTTGGAGATCAAATACATTATTGATCTTTGGTAAAGTCATCTATTTCTGGGGTAATAGCTTTGGGAAAAGTATGGTTCCCTGAATTTAGGAAACTATTTAAAGAGCTACTTCCTGGATGTGTTAGAGCTTCAAGGGTCATAATGTGTGTTTCTATTCATGTGAATTGGGTGGTTATACTTGACTCATTTAGCTACTTGGTATTTTTTTCCCTTAGGAATTAGATACACTATTAGGAGTTAAACACTATTGATTTGTTGGATTTTTTAAATTTTGTAATTATTTTGTTACATAAATCATAGTTTATGTGGTTATAGTTTGTCCTATTTCTTTGTATTATAATTAAGTTTTGAATTTTAAAAAAGTATGATTTGGTTTCTGCAGTGGTAATTTTTTAAATGTATATTTAGTGTTAGGAGTATTTTTCTTAAAATATGGCACTACATATGCACTACTAGGAGAAATCTTAGTCATGGTAGATTTTTTTAAAAGGACATCGTTATTAATACATTTATCTTGAGTTGATAAAAATGAGCTTCATTAGGATTCAGAATTACTTTCATTTTCTTATAGACAGAAATAGTTAATAGCTTTTTGAAAGAAGGCAGGCAAAGTATATATGTATATAGAAGGATAGCTAGGATAACTGTACTGCTGATGTCTGGTGGTTTACTGAAAGGAACAGTTAATGCTTAGAATTTTTTATATTTTGACCAATTTTGCATGCTTATATCAGGTAATCTGAGCAACTGATTTGAAGACAACAATATGCACTAGAATAGCCACTGGTGAATTCTTACCATCTTGTCTAGTGAAACACTGTACCATCTCTAATGTTTTAATAATTTTTTTATTCTCTTTAATGGTTTGAACAATCTTCCATTCTTACATCTGGTAATCTGAGCAACTTAGTTAATGATAACAATATGTAATATAACAACCACTGTTAATTCCTCATTTTTAATGTTCTTGCTTTGTTTTGTCTGTGATGTTGGTATTTTGCTATTGTTCTTTTTTAAACTACTTTAAAATAAAAAAATCTCGGGGCTGGGGATTTAGCTCAGCGGCAAAAGTGCCTGCCTGGCAAGCGCAAGGTTGTGAGTTCGGTTCCCGGTACTGGAGAAAAACCAAAAAATAAAAAATAAAAAAAAAATAAAAATAAAAAAATCTCTAAAAAATAGTAATAGCTTTTAAATGTTTGTTATCTTCTAATTCAAATATACAGCTAAGTTTTAAATTTATTTTTGTGATATATGCACTTGATTAAATTTTTTGAACAGATGAACTTGTATAAAAACTTACAAATAATTACTGTATTTTTTTCTTAAGGTATCCTATGTGTGGCTGATCAGTGTCATGGCTTACGAGAACTGGCTCTGAACTACCATTTATTAAGTGATGAATTGCTACTTGCTCTGTCTTCTGAAAAACATGTTCGATTAGAACATTTGCGTATTGATGTAGTCAGTGAGAATCCTGGACAGACACACTTCCATACCATACAGAAGAGCAGCTGGGATGCTTTCATCAAACATTCACCCAAAGTGAACTTAGTTATGTATTTTTTTTTATATGAAGAGGAATTCGACCCATTCTTTCGTTATGAAATACCTGCCACTCATCTTTACTTTGGGAGATCAGTAAGCAAAGATGTGCTTGGCCGTGTGGGAATGACATGCCCTAGACTAGTAGAACTAGTAGTATGCGCTAATGGATTACGGCCACTTGATGAAGAGTTAATTCGCATTGCAGAACGTTGTAAAAATTTGTCAGCTATTGGACTAGGGGAATGCGAAGTCTCATGTAGTGCCTTTGTTGAGTTTGTGAAGATGTGCGGTGGCCGTTTGTCTCAGTTATCCATTATGGAAGAAGTACTAATTCCCGACCAAAAGTATAGTTTGGAGCAGATTCATTGGGAAGTGTCTAAGCATCTTGGTAGGGTGTGGTTTCCAGACATGATGCCCACTTGGTAAGGACCATGTTAATGTAGGGCATGTTGAATAGTACCTTAACTTTAAGCAAAGATATTGTAATAAAAGTTTATTTGCTGTAGTTCTGATATAATTCTACTATTTTGTTGCACCAAAATTTGCTCTCTCCAGTGAGTAAGGATTGTTTATTGGCAGACCTACGAATCAGTCTTGGTCAGAAAACTCCATTTGTTTGTTTAGCTTAATAGCAGTCAAATCTCTGAAAAATAATAGAAAAAAGTGATTTGAAAGTAATAACAAGTTATGGAGACTAAACAGTTCATAGTCTGATGGAAACAAAAACCTATATAATAGCCAGCAAAGTGAATGCTAATAGGTTTCTTGAAATGTTATGTTCTCTATGCATTTTTTTAAAAATGTAAACTTGATATTTTTAGGGTCTTCAGTTATACACCTGTTATAAGGTGTTTAATATAGCTCAGAAAAGTGAGCATTTTGTGAGAAAAATGTAGGATATACAGTATCATATCTAATGAAAAAAAATTGGTTGAATGTTCTCAAATGTTATAAACCTGTTTAAAACAAGGGATATATATAATTGGAACACTTAGAAAACTGATAATAAATGTCACACAGTGATTGCAGAAGGACAATACGTAGAGCAAAGATCAAATTAAAATAAGTGGCATAGAAGGGAAGCAGTTAGCTTTGTATAAATTTTTAGATTTCATCTGTAATCTGCTAAACTGTGTAAGTTTTTTTGTGATATGTTACTGTGTGTGTGGCACTTTTTGAGGCATTGTTAGTAAAGTGAGGAATGCCTTACCAGTTCTCCTTGGTTTTATCTTTGTTTAAACTAGTTTTTAAGTATTATTCAATAATTGAAATGAAAAGCTTATTTACTTTTTAAAAGCCAAATTGAAATAATTATAAAGATAGAACTTTAAAATGTTTATAAATTGTTTCCATAAAAGAATATTTGTCTCCAGTAAATTTTAGTGAAGGCTCATTTTTCCATTTTTGAGTTATAGTTATGTATTTAAATCATAAAAAGGGAGAATTTTAAATCAAAAAAAGGAGCACCAGTGTACAGTTAAGCATAAACAGTAAATTTAAAAGGTGATATTTAAGTTCATAATCATGTTTTTGAGTAAATATTGCTGTATGAACTGGAAAGTTTTAATAGAAAAATATCTGTAGTTTTGTGATTGTTAATTTGGTTAAACTGATTATTTTATATTATTTAAGTAGCATTTTATATTACTTTCATATAAAGGTAAAGCCATGCATTACAGAACCTGTAAAAAGTATAAGTTTTGGGCTATATTTAATTGGGATTTTTTTTGTTTTTCAGATACTATATAAACTTTGATGAGTCTGGGCACTAGTGCTAGTAGATACTACCTTCCTAAGAAACATTAGAAGAGATTTACCCCTAATGGAACACATTAATGCTTGACATGGCTCTCATCAGTAGTGTAACTTTTAGGAAGCACCTTGGTAGTTATGGGAGCAAAGTCTAAAATGACCTTCCTAAAAAAATAAAATAAAAAGTCATTTTTTTATGTAATACATGTTTTTCAGAAGTGATAGTATTCAACCCTTTAGCCACCTATAATTGAGAATAAAGGCTCATCCAAACTTGAAAACTAAAGGCAATTATGTAATATTTCCCCTCTAACTAAATACAGTAGTAAAAAGCTTGGGATGTATAAGAAATACCATGTTAGTGAATTTTTTTTCTTAATTTTGGAAAATGGATTGGACAGTACATGATCAGTTCTACTAACCAAAGCTTTATTTGAAAATTTACTTTTTGTACAAATTATATAATGCTTGAAATACTTTGTCACTTTATAAGCAAAATGCATAGCACTTAATTTGTTTATACTGTAAAATACATGTTAAATGCTTTTATCAACTTGAGAATAAAGATAGTTACTAATACTGTTGTATTAAAATTTTTTCCCACACATACATATTTGACTTAAATACTACTACTTAAATTTACACACTTAGGGTTTTAGTTTCAAAGCCTTATTTGATGTAAAATATTTAATATTAAATACTGTTTATGGTAGGTGCTTTTTTGAAAGATACAGGGTTAGGCATTTGGAGTCTATTCTTGAATTCTGCTCTGATGCCTATGAAATTTATATAAAATATAAATTTACTAATTTTTTAAAATTTGAAAACAGAAAAGTTAACTTATAATAGGTTTTTTTTGGCACTTTGGAAATACAGTACTCAGTCACAATCCTTAAATACAGCTAACCTCTTTAAATTACAGAAATTTTCATATCCTGGCAACGTGTTTCAGAAAATATCTACAATTTATGTGGGTGATTTAGGCTACTTTAACACTCATAAAATAAAACGCAGGCATGACTGAAAATTACTGCAGTCTAAAAAGAATTTTTCGTATTTATTAAAAACCCCAGTTTATCTGTAGGGCTAATTTTAATGTTACTAAGCATTCAGGCAAGTCCCACCTATGTGCTGGTGCCTAACTTTCTTTAAAAGTACACAAAATTGTATACTCTGAGAGTGAATGAAGAGCTTATCCTTAGAATATCCAGTCCAAAAAAAGCACATATTCTTAAATAGGAGAGAGAAAATTTAGAAAAGATAAATTTGAAGGGTACAAGACTGCTTGATGATAAAGGGTAAATGTAAGGAAGATGGTAGAAACAAAAATTTCCACTTACTTTCCCCTTTGAACGGGAAAATATGGGAGGTTTTAGAACATTATTTTCTGTACAGCATGCCAAGAATTTATTATTCACTAAGTGCTAATGGAGCAGACTATAAAGCTGAATAAAAGTTTGCTAATATTTGTAACTTTATTTCTGAATTTTAACACAGAGCCAGTACTGATTGAGGGTTCCAAACACTTATTTTGACCTTTTGACTGTTTTTTTCTATCTGCAATATTTAGATAACATTTTATAGGTAAATTTACCTGATATTGAGCCACATTAATTAGGATGTATTTACTCTGTGTCATAATCAAAATTTTCTCTTAGAAGAAATTTTATATATTTATAATTTCAGCAATATAATAGAAATCACATGTAAGTTATACAGTAGCTCAAAGAGTAGCAAAATTTAATTGGCAGATTTCTGCCCAGGCTTGTTTTGGTTTTCCAACTACCATCTTGAATCATCACTGCTTGAAAGTTTATTGTAAATACACTTGACCAGTTTCATAAATTCTAAAACATTAAATATTTTTGTGAATACTATGCCTTCTCTGCTGTTACCATCTGAATCTATATAGTTTTTTGACAATATTTTCAATTTGTTTATATTCTTAGGAACAAATGAAAAATCTTCAGTGTTTTTATAACAGAATCCTGCTTTAAAACTCAAGTTCCATGTACAAATGGCTTTATTTTTGCTGTGGAACCAAGTTCTGAGATTTGCAATTGACACAAACTTGCTACCTGAATATTTGCTTATCATGAGTGCAGATCTGGAAATCCAAAATAACTTGCCAGTGCAGTTTCAAGAATCTGGTAGAACTGGTATTGCCTGAGTTTAGCCACTAGATGGTGATAATGCAGTTTCTTGTGACACTCCTAAAACAGGTTAAATAGGCAACCCTAATTGGGAATGGTTTAGGCACTGTAGGGGGCTGTGGAAGTGGCAGGCAGTGGAAGAAAATTCCACCTGTGCTTTTGAGGAAGACTAGGCAGAACAGTACAGTGCTACTCAAGCTGTGGTGACTGGAGTTTTTATTTGCAGACTCAGGCCCACAGTTAAACAATAAATAATGTCTAGACAAATAACAAGGACATACAAAATACAAGCTCTCAGAGGTTTTTTTCTGTTGATTCAACAGAAACAATGGTGCTTTAAAAGTTTCTAAATGTTTCCTCTGGTAGCTTCACTTACTTCACAGACCAGTAACATTTGGTAGCCAGGCACCGGTCCAGGGACTGCACATTTCAATAATACTGAAAAACTTCAGTATCTAATTTCATCAGCAGAACCTGAATTTAATATCTGGCTTACTAATAGGTAACCATGGAAAAGGTCACTTAACCTTTATAGACCCCAATTTACTCATTTGGATGAGGTAAATAATATGATTAGGCTTCTATGAGAGCTCAATAATGTACTAACCTCTCAGGAAACACTCCAATGTTAGCTGAAACAAGAACATAATTGGTCCATTTACATATGAAACAGATTGTTTCCTCTGATCTCTATCTTACTGGTGTATTTTTCATGAATAGAAAAAAATGCATTCAGTTGATCACAATATACTTAAAAGATCTTGAAAGCTTGTTTGGTGCCTCTAACATAAACAGTGACTTAGAAATCTCGTTTCTGCAAACAAAGTGCACTCTTGCACTGCACTGGGAGAAGGGAGTACCACAGAAAATGGAAGGAGTTAGAGGTACCTGTCCACCCAGACGTATCTGCAGCTAGATAATTCCGTGCCCCACATGGTTGAAGAACTGAAGTACTTCACTATCAGCTCAAAGTCTAGGTGATTACAAAATCTAGGACAGCTGGCATGTAACCTACATTAGTTAAGATCAAAGATGACACTCTGATTAATCATTATAGCCACCATTGTGACCTCACTATGCCAAATACACGTAACATCAATCTTTATGACAGTCCTGACAAGTCCATTTTAGAGATCAGAAAACAATGTTAAATTGCTTAAATCATAAAACCAGTTATAAACTACATGACAGAAATTTTGCTCTTAACACTTTATCACATATGGGAGCAAAATCTAGCTACGTTGCCCAAACAAGTCTTTCAAGTTAAATGAATAGAACACAATCAGAGTATTTAGTCCTGCTTTCAGAAGTTACAAAAGCATTGAAGTCTAAGCTAACAAAAAGCGCTTGCATGAAAAGGTGTAACTACCATGTTAGAAAAAAATAGCTTCTACCATGAAAATGTCACTATTGGAATCAATGAAACATAAATACTGCACATGAACTGTCGTTCTTCATATTAACAGGCTTGGGAATTGAAATCAAGATCACTTAACATGTTCATTTTAGCCAATATAACAGAATTTCAGCTTCTTTCCAATAATACTCTTGAGATATTAATAAATAACAGTTCTACCAATGTGCATTTTACCTGAGGAAGAAAGGCTAAGAAATCCACAAATGTAAAATCACCCCCTAAAAAGCAGATGCTGGTAGAGGAAAAAAAAACAGTAAGTAGAATTAAGGTTTTATAATTCAGTGAATGTTTTGTGTCTGTTAGGTAAAGGGATTTCTTCATATGTTATTTTAACAAAAGGGAACTTCATAGGTAAAAACCAATACTCAAAATTATAAAACAAATAGAACTGTCTGTGCATAATCACTGAATCAAAAATTTGCAAGAGACTCAACAGAAATTCTTTAGTTGACAAGTGTGGTTTGAAAGGGTAGTAAAATCTTTTTATGGCTAAAGCAAGAGTCTTATTTCCCGTTGGCCCAAAAATAAATGTTTCATTTCCCAAATAAGTAGGTTCTCCACTGTAAAGAACTATCCTTGTATACTTGGTTTCTATCTTGTTGAACTCTGCTCCAAGTTCAGCTAATTTCTCATATGTCCGTAACACAAACTTTGAACAGTCAAAGGATTCAAACCAGGTCTCCGCCCCTTTTCCTGGGCTGGCTTGGACAGTCCATGTCTCATAATAAATTCCTGTTTCATTGTCCTGTTTCACCCACTTTGCCATTTTGTTAAACGTGTCTCCTAGTTTAAAAACAAAACATCAAACTAATGTTAGTTTTAAGCAAAATATTCTTACCTGATGAAGACTACTGATGCATATGAATAAGAGATTTGTTTTGGATTTCCAAATCTCATGACAGTAACCCAAGATCTGCCAGTTTTTATTGTATTCTTTAAGGCACTGCTGAATTATAAACACTAGATATAATAGGTATATGAAGAAAACTCCTACTGAGCCTATCATCACTTAAACTGTTGTGAAAAGGGAGAATATACAAATGCAGCAGCTCTTTATACGATTCAAATTTTGGATTCCAAGTCAGAAAAAAAGCAAGGAAGGAATGTAGAAGAGCAAAAGGTGAATGGACAAAGAATGTCAGAAAAAGAGGACAAAAGTTGTACTTTTACAAAGCATGGTATGCAACCAGCAATGAGTGACCCAGAAGCAGTTAAAAGAATGCCTATTGGGTTTAGCTGCCAGGGTTACTTAGTTGTAACACTTTAACTTCTCTTCATATGTACAAGGGGAAAATAGCTGTTGTGATAAATGTTGTGACACCTGTACAGCAGAGCCTGGCCTGCTCTAAGTCTGCGTAAGGAATATTTTCAACATGAAAAAAATTTTTAGATACAGCTAGAGACATAAAATTAGATGACTTAGACATAATTTAGATACATAAATTCTAGCTACAGTTAATAGGGCCTTTAATCAGGCACTTTAGGGATTCCCTTTCCTGTTTTACAGTGGTACCTCGCTTCATGACTTAATTCTTTCCATGATTCTGGTGTTAAAACTGAAATGGACAAGAACCATATCAAAGTCAATGGATAGGTTCAATATTGATGTTATAGGGAAATCTGATTTGGTTCTCATCCAACTCAGTTTACCACCGGAATCATGGAAAGAAGGCACTGATGTACCACTGTATTTAGAAAGTACAGTTTAATTTTACCAAACATTTTTTTCCCTATAGAATAGAGCAGGAGAGAAGCTATATACCTACAAAGTTATAAATGAGTACTTGTTTGGGTCACAGTGTACTGGTTCCAGAACAGCGTGTCATTCACATGCAGTCTTCATTTGCATAGTGATACAGTCATTAATACTGGCATATTTTTGAAACTTACCTGATATGGTTGCTACTAGAACTAATGTCCCATTTTCCTTCCAGTGGGCATCATCAATTCCTTCAAAAAAGCAAGCAGCTCCTTGATTACACCAGAAAGGGGCGTTCATTTCAGGTCTGAGATGGGGAAACGTACAGTTGCCAAGTTGGAAAAGTTCATACCATTCCATTGTGTAGTTCTTGCCAGTTAAGGTATTCCTGAATCCAATGGCATCATGCATAATTTTCTGTGTAAAGATAATAAAGAAATGAAGGCATCTGGGAAGTAATCACGGGTTCAGATAACCTGATGGAAGTAAATGTGGTATACTACAAATGTGTATCTATCGTGAACAACAACTATGCAACTCTTTCTCTTCTGTGTCACTATTCTTGTGTCCCTCTGTGGTCTCTCAAACTCCAGGCCCTCATCCACTCTGCTTTTGGCCTCTTACCATCTTAGATGGGGGGGATATGGGCTATGAGAACACACATGTCATTTTCTTAACCTGTGACATCAGTCCAAGAAGCCTACATGCTAAAGGTCTGGGAAGAAACTCAACACACCTCATCTAACCTACAAAAGTGAAATCAAGAAATGTTTCCTGCCCGCCTTCTTACCATGTCCTCCCTGCTCACTGTTCAAGAACCAGGTACAGTAGCAGGTAGGTTAAGATTCGTAACACTAAAAAGCATTCAAGTGAACGCATGTTAACTGTCAGGATTACAAAATCTAACCATAACATTTTTGATGACTTATGTTTAATTTTCTAGGGGTAAATCAATAAATTTGATCAAGTCAATAACTAAATCATTTCATTGCTCAAAGTTACAAGATTAAGATACATCCTTACAAAATGTCCCAGCAGGTCCCCGTATTTAAATTCCCATACTGGAGCTTGTAGTCGAAAGACTTCAATGACATCATCATTCTTCATAACTGGGATCGGCGAGCCAGTGGGACAGAAAGTGTACTCAGCTTGACAATAAGGATCTGGTTCTGGACGGAAGGAAAAGCGTCTAATGAAGAAAGAGAAGCCATCAGCTTAGATTTTAAGAGGAATTTAGTTCACATACACTGTAGAATCCAGATTTTCATTTTATCATAACATTTTTAGGGAAAACATGCAACGCTTAGACCATAGTGACCAAATACAAACATACATTTTACTTATCCTGTGAACAAACTTTCAATGATACCTTTAATAGCAAACAATAAAATGGAAATATATTTTACATTTACTTAAGCATTAACTTACATTTATTCAACCAGTATTTATTGAGAATCTAGTACATGTAGGGTTGGATTGGAAGGAGAGAAACAAGAATGACAATGCTGGGAGCTGGGAAGACATTAAACAAGCCCCGAGGTGTGCACTAGGTTAAGTGGTAAACTAAGGAAATGGCACAAAGATGAGAGAAATCAGTTCTCCCTAATGGGGAACAGGTGGGTTTAAGGGCAAAGAAGATAAAAATTGGCTTAGCTATGGAGTATCTGTACAGAAGGTTAGGGCAGAAAACATTAAGTATTGTAAGACAAGTACGCACAGCTGAGGGTCTCCAGTGAGCTAGGAGAGGGCAGAGGTAGCCAGGGGCTGACATCACAAACCCTAGGGAAGAAGAGGTGAGGGTACCCCTAGGATGCTAGGGCTGGGCAGGGCTAAGCCCTTGAGCAAGTTTGAAAGATTTAAAGCAGCAGATCTGATGGGACTGAATATGCTGTAAAGTAAGCCTTATCTTGCAAAATAAGAGATAGGAAGGCGCCAAGGTAAGGCTGAGAGATCAGTCAGGAAGTGACTGCAATAATGCAGACAAGAAGAGAAGACCAGAGAAGGCCAGAGCCATTGGATAAGGATGGTGGCGGTGGCCAGATTCTGCTCAACCGGCACCTACTGGTCACCTTCTATCCTTGGAACTGGGAGAAAAAGAAGAATACAATAGAAGCAGCTGTGTCCTCTAAGAATGTTCCTAAGATTTCCATGGTTCTAGTCAGATGTATTTTGTAACAGTGCTAACATATAAACAAAAACTTCTATTTTAATTTAGACACATACCTGGTCTAAACAAACAGTAACTACATGTGGGTTTCTTTCACCCACAGCACAATCCCTTTTACCTCAAACGTAATTTATAAAGCGTAACTAAAGTACGAATTTAATACAGGTAAACATTATATTCAACTGAGGAAACGGAATGAAGACATGTACTTATATGTACTTGCTAAAAACTGAAGAACAGTAAGACGTCATCACCAATGATTAACAGTATGAGGCATAAAATATTTTGGATTTATAATCTCTTCCTGGTTTCGTTGGATATTTAATTTTTACTTCTTTTTGAACATTTTAATATTTTCCAGACAAATGAGCTTCAACCCCCCAATTTTTTTTTTTTTTTCTTAAGAGTACTTGGGGATTGAACCTAGGGCCTCAAGCATGCCGGGCAAGAGCACTAAGTGGCCCTAAGCTACATCCCTGTCCCCCACCCCTCTTTTAATATTTATTTTGAGAGAAGGCCTCTCTGTTGTCCAAGCTGGCTTGGAAATTATATCCCTCCTACTCAGCCTCCCAGCAGCTGGAATTTCAGGCCTATACCTCTGACCTCTCTTTTCACATATATCATCCAGTATAAACATTCCATGAGCAGACTACATGAATATTTAATTCTGACAACAACCAGTATTTACTAGAGATAATCCTGCCCGGAAAAAAAAAAGTGTTACTACTGGTCCCATTTTCCGACTCAGCACCTGTAAGCAAAGGGATATTGAGTAACTTTCCCATGATCTGATGGGGCTAAATTTGATCTGCAGCATGCTGTACGAAACCAGAATTTACCAGAGATTCTCTGGCCTTGGAACTCATTATCCTGTCAAGCAAAACCGCTGTGCATATTCAAAAGTTGCTGGGCCTTCTCCTGCCTGAGGGTTACCCAGCTAGCTTTCTGTGTTTGGCTCCCTCCCGCAGTTCTAGTCTAGTCAGTACTCTTCTAGGTCAAAGACCGGAAAAAAGCACTTGCAATCCCAGCACCCTGGGAGGCTGAGGCAGGCCACTAGGAATTTGACCCCAGTCTGGGTAATTTAGGGACTTGGCAAGATGCTGGTCTCAAAAATAACTTAAAAAGGTCCACGGATTATAGTTCAGAGCGAAAGCGGCCTGCACCTTAGTGCAAAGGTCCTTTGAATACCCAGTACTTTAAAAAAATCAGCTTCACAGATCTGCAGCCTCGGTCCTCGATTTCTGACCAGTGCTCTACCTCCAGGTTGAGGAAAGTGGACAAAAGAGAGGATCAACCTTCCCCGCTGGCCCGGGAGGGCACTGGGACTTAGAATACAAAAACTGGGAAGTTCACTGCCAGGTAGGGCGAGTTGGTCACCCCAAATATTAAATATTATGCAGTGATGACTGCTGACGGTGCGCGAAGTGAGAAACCAATATCTTAAAAAGTGTTCTGAGCAGCATGCTCAAGGCGTCAGCTCCCTGAATCTAAAGTCAGTCGGCGCAGTGGCTTGACTCGGTCCTTCCACGATCAGGAGCAGCGCCGCGCAAGGCTCCCGCGCCGTGGGGCAGAAAGGCCCAGAGCCGCGCGCCCAGGGCGCCGGCGACTCGCGCGCTCTCACCGTGCTCCGAACCCAGGTCCCCGCGTCCCCAGG